AATTATAAACAATAAAAAGAGAGTTCCCCCAAATCCTTAATGTTTTCAAACTAAAAAGTGTACTTTTAGAAATGACAGGGATACATATTAAAATTTTGGGGGAAAATTAACATAGAATGTTATAATTCAGAGCACTACCTCTGGGGAAGAGGACAAGGGTCCTGTGATGGAGAGGATTCTGGGAGGCTGGTACTATTCTAGTTTCTGATTTGGGTGGTGGCTCATAAACTGAGATCGAGTTGGACGCTTAACCAGCTGAACCACCAAGATGCCCCAAGTTGTACCATTTTGATTTGTGCACTTTTCCATATGTATGTAATCCTTCAGTGAAAAATTAAAAAACGAAACAACCAGAAAACCTATGGGATGCAGCTAAGGTAATTCTTTGAGGTAAGTATATCCCCTTAAAATAAAGATAACAGTAAATATAAAATCTTGGAAATTCATGGGCCAAGCATTCAACTCAAGCATTGAACTGGGAAAACAAGTAGTTCACATTTTCTTAATAATGAAGAAATTTCCTATTGAAAAATATTGATATAGCAGAAGAGGTTAAGGGAGACATCAAAGTTAGGATTTACGAGCTTGTTTACAACTTCCCATAGCAGATCCTTTTTGACATATTACCTATTCGTATAGAAATAGGATGTAACAGTATATATTGTGTGAGTCCTTCAAAAATTCCAAACAATTCTTCTAAGTCACAGCATGCAAACCACATGGCAGGATGCAGCCAGGGAACATCAGGCCTGGGTGGGCGTTCCTATTAGAAGACAGAAAGAAAATGAGTAATAATTCACAAAGACAGCCACAAAATAGGTTTTCTCCTTGTCTCAGTGAAAAAGCAAGCTCCAACAGCATGTTGAAAATAACTATTTGCCTAGGACAAGGAACTAGATAGGGTGAGACACAAAGGATGTTGAACCAGTTCTACCTGTAGACCTTTGCCCAGAAGTGCAGCTGGTGAAGGCTTTCCAGGGTGACATTTGCGGAAAGCAGTTCACCTGGTGAAGGGTTAACATTAAATGTGTGAAGCTGACTTCTAGCCTGTGCCCCAACTCATCACACCAGTCTCTTCCCACCCTCCAGACAGTCTTCTGTGGTTTTTTCCCATGAAGACTAGCTTCATGGGAAGACTAGCTTCATGGCACTATTCCATGGAGCACTTACATGTAGGTGAACAGTTTTAAAAGAGAGAAACAGCTGGGATCACAGGCTGAAACTAATCCCTTGAAAATTTCTTAAATATTTGCCTGAGGTTCTATACTAATTTTTAAGTAGATTCACTGAGATACAATTCACATACCATGTCGTTCATCCATTTAAAGCATACAATCCAATGTCTTTTAGTAAATTCATAGACTTGTGCAACCATCACTACAGTGAATTTTAGAACATCTCCTCTCCTCAAAAAACCCCAGGTATTCTTTAGCTACTATCCTCCTATCTTCCCATGCCCCCAGCCTAAACAACTACTAAACTGCTTTCTGTCTCTACAGATGTGTCTGTTCTGGAAAAGTCATATAGATCACATTTCATAATCTATGGTCTTTTGTGACTGCCTGCTTTTGCTTAGTTTAATGTTTTGAAGGTTTACTCATGTTGTGATATGCATCAGTACTTCATTCCTCTTTATGGTTGAATAATATTCTGTTGTGATGAGTAGACAACATTTTGTTTATTCACGCATCAGTTGATGGACATTGAGGTTGTTTCCACCTTGTTGGTGACTATGAATAATGCTGCTAGGATATTAATGTCCAAATTTTTTGTGTGGACATATTTTCATTTCTCTCTGATATACACCCAGGAGTTGAATTGCTGGGTGATATAGAAATTCTGTATTTTGCTTGAGGAGCTGCCAGACCATTTTCCATTGTTTGCTCTAGTCAGCAGTTTATGACGGGACTGATTTCTCCACATCCTCACTGACACTGGTTATTACCTTTTTGATTCTAGCCATTCTAGTAGGGATGACTGCTATCTCCTTAAGGTTTGATTTGCATTTCCCTGATGAATAATGATCTTGAATATCTTTTCATGTGCTTATGTATATCTTATTTGGAGAAATATTTATACAGGAGCTTTGTTTATTTTTAAATTGGGTCATTTGTCATTTTATTGTGGAGTTGTAAGGGTTCTTTATATATTCCTGATACAAATCCTTTCTCAGATATGATTTGCAAATATTTTCTCCATTCTGTGCATTGTCTTTTCATTTTCTTAAGTTTTCTTTAAAACAAAAGCATGCTTATTTTTTATAAAGTCCAATTTATCTATTTTTTTCTTTTGTTGCTCATGCTTTTGGTATCATATCTAAGGATCCATCGTGAAACATGCAGTCATGAACACTTCTTCCCATGTGCTCTAACAAGAGCTTTAGCTTTTATATTTAGGCTTTTGATACATTTTAGGTTATATATGGTGTGATATAAGGATCTAGTTTTACTGTTTTGCATGTGGCCCAGCTGGCCCACACCATTTGTTAAAAAGACTACTTTTCCCAATGAATTGTCTTGGCAATCTTATCAAAAATTGGTTGACTATAGACACATGCTTTTATTTCTAGACTTTCATATTTGATTTCATTTATCCATTTGTCTTTGTGCTAGTATCATACGGTCTTGATTATTGCTGCTTTATAGTGAGCTTTGGGATCTGGATCCTTTGCTATTCCATATGAACTTTAAACTCGCTGATTTCTACAAAGAAGTCAGCTGGGATTCTGATGGGGATTTCACTGAGTCTGTAGATCACTTTGGGTAGTATTGCCATCCTAACAGTACTAAGCCTCTAATCCATGTTTGTGGGATTTTTCCCCCCACTTATTTAGGTCCTCAAATATCTTTCAACATGTTTTGTAGTTTTCAGAGTATAAGTTTGAGCATCTTTTGTTAAATTTCTATGTGTTTCATTCTTTCTACTGCCATTGTAAATGGATTTTTTCTTAATTGCATTTTCATATTGTCCCTTGCAAGCATCTGTGAGAAATACAAATTAATTTTGTATAATGATCTTGTATACTGCAAACTTGCTGAACTCATTTACTAATTCTAATACTTCAATTATTTTTTAGTAGGTCCCTTAGTATTTTCTATATACAAAATCTTGTCCTCTGCAAATAGAGATACTTCTTCCTGTCTCATCTGGATGTCTTTTATTTCATTTTCTTGCCTAATTGAGCTAGCAAGGATCTCCAGTGCAATGCTGAAAAGAAATTGTTAGAACAGACATGCTAGTCTTGTTTCTGATCCTACAGAGAATGCACCTAGGCTTTCACCACTAAGTATGTTGTTACTGTGGATTTGTGTCCATGCCCTTTATCTAGGTGAGGGAGTTCTCTTCTATTTATAGTTTGTTGAGTGTTTTTATGATGAAAATGTGTCGGGTTTTGTCAAATGTTTTTTCTGTGTCTACTATGGTGATCATGAAGTTTGCTTTTCTATTCTGTTGATTCTGTTGCTATGTAGCATTAGGATTAAAATGGAAAATACCAGTATTAAGATATTAGTAACTAAATAAAGTAACTAGACAAAAGATACCTTCCAAACATATTTATAAATAAAAATTAGCCAAGAATCATTCCAATTTCCTTGTGATAGAAGAAAAGAAGCTTTAATAAAAAATTTGAGAAGGATCTTAAGATGATTTGTGACTAAGTTTTTTGTTTGATGGTATTTAAAATGTTTTTTATATTTCTTTTCAAAATATGTGGCTCATGAGAAGTAGCAGGTAGTACTGGAATGGACATGGGCTTTGGAAGCTCAGGTTTGAATCTGTTTCTGTCATGTGTTAGTTATCTGATTCTGGAAAGTTCTTTAACATCTTCAAGCATCTGCTTGAGAAAACTGTAAATAAGGCTGTTAAAGAATGCTGTGAGAAGGATGATAAAGCAAAGAGCCTGGCTGAGTGACCCACTAATAGTCAGTAATAGAGTGAAGCGGGTAGGAGGCAGGCTCTACAGACTGACTTGAGGGTTCCAGCACTGGCTCCAAACCCTATTAAGTATGTGAACATGAAAAGTTATTTAATCTCTGTGCCTAATTGTCTATCTGCAGGCTAGAGATAAAATTAGGAACTCACATAAGAAGAATACTGAGAGAGATAAATGAGCTGTTAAACTCTATTAAACACATAGCAAGGGGCACCTGGGTGGCTCAGTGGGTTAAAACCTCAGTCTTCTACTCAGGTCATGATCCCAGGGTCCTAGGATCAACCCCTGCATAGGGCTCTCTACTCAGCGGGGAGCCTGCTTCCTCCTCTCTCTCTCTCTCTTTCTGCCTACTTGTGATCTGTCCATCAAATAAATAAATAAAAATTTTTAAAAAAATTAAAAAAAAAACATAGCAAGCTCTTTGAAGTGTGAATTGTGATTATGAAGTTAAGATTGCTTTAAGCAAGGATTAATAGAATATGCATGTGTGCAAGATGGGTGGGGATTGGGAAGGAAGGATGTCTGGTGGAGAGGTCCTGTCTGGGCTTGTCCTGGGAACATAGGGCACTGAGAGTCAAATTAAAAAAGACATGAAGTCCAACCTCTCAGTGATACACAGAGGCTCAAATAGTGGCGTCTGCAAAGACCGAAGACGGGGCTCAAGATGGGCATCTAGAGTGGGGCTAAGCTGGAACTGTAGGTAAGAGTCGGGGGGGCTGTTGCTCACTTCTGTGGGCTACCCAATTTGTGGTGTGAGGGTGAGGCAGACTAGTTTAAGCGGCTGGGGCAAGTTCGACAAAAGGATAAACACAAAGAAGGAAACTGCAGGAGAGCTTGTATTACAGTATTCGGGAAGGCGGCAGTTCAGTCATATTAGTTCCTGTGCTTTATAATGAAAGATGTGTCCAGGCAAGAGGGAGTCATGATCTCCCAAACAGTATTGCCAAGTCTGTGAATTACAACATTGATTGAATTTTAACTCTTCATATTTGTAAGATGGTCAACTTTTCAAAACATGCTCACATCTACTAGCCCATTGGTTACTCCCGACATCACTTTTGTATAGGTGAGGACAGCGCTGCCTAAAGAGGCTACATTTACTGACCTTGCCCAGCTACTGGAGATGGAGCCTGGCCCCTAGGCCCACAGAGCCTGCCCTGCCGGGTCACACAGCCAAACGTATCACCTTCAGCCACTGCAGACCACTGGTAGGTGCTTGAGGGCCCTATCTAGAATAACATTTACAATCCAAACATGAGATAGGTACCTTTTCTAATCCTGCAGAACCCCGGAGAAAGAAATTCCATTCAGCATCAGTTAAGTTTTCTTGCTGACGCATGATCTCAACACAGAGCATAAAGCTATAGATGAGCTTATGTTGTTCAAAAAGTCCTCTTGAAACATTGACATAAGCGGTTAGAAGAGTTTGTTCCAGCAGTATTTCCAAGCGCTGCTGCAGATCATCTGTCTTTAGAGAAGTTTCAATTGTTGTATTGAACAACTGTGGGAAAGAGAGTACTATCAATGTCTCTGACTTAATTCAATTTCTGTGGAGGAAAAAAAAAAAATCCCTGCTCCTCACTCCTTCGCTTCCGGGCCCTGTAGTCAGTGGGTAAATAGCAGCACAGGAAAGGACTACTGTACTATGAAATGTCCAGAATTCATCCCCAGATTGATAAGTGATATTTATTTTCTGCATTCCCTTTCCTCTCCTCATTTTTCAGAAATGAACCAATGCTGAACTCTTGACAGTATTCAGAAAGTATCATCTTGATGTGAGGCGGAACACAGGAAAATAGATGTGAGGTGGCACCACCGGTTTTTTCATATCCTTAACCTGGATTTGATAATCATTTTGGGGTAAGAGACATAAGGGCAAGGTAAGGTCATATGCTTTTCTTGGCTCTCCCCCAAGATCATCATTAGGTTGTGGGACCAATGTGTTAGAATTTTCTCCACAATTTAAGGGAAAGCCCTTGTTAATTCTCTCCAAAGTTGGGTTGACAAAGGGAAATGGAGGTGTTTTTTAACACACTTAGAAGAAAAGAGGATTGAGCTTTCTTTAACAACCTGACAAGAAGAAGAGAAGTTCAAAATCCCATGAAGATGTGATGCTTAGTGCCAAAATAAAACATGGCGAACCTTGACACCACTGGTAGCTGAGAGAAACTTTGTGGTGAACAGAGCGTGCTACTGGGGATGCTCGGTAAGTTCTGCTGTATAAGGGATGATGCAAACTCGCTGTATCCCCTGGAAATCTTCAGGTAAATTGACACTGCTTGCTGAAGCTTTGTGACACTGCATTTGCTCTTGGGAGAGATGGACTGCTGCCACAAAGGGGAGGTGAAAATATCCTACTCACGAGAAATCTGATGAGATTCAACAGTGGATATGAGATGAAGAAGAGAGACTGTGCAAAAAACAAGTCTCACTGTAATATGGGGGGAGTGGGAAGGAACCAAGGACAGGAGAGCAGGGCATGTACAATTTATCTAAAAAAGGTTGGGGAGGTGTGGTGAGGGGTTGGGATAGCCTATTGTATAGAAAGTTCTGGGAGATAAAAGATACAGAAACCAATTTGCTTAAGGTCAATGCTGTCAGAGACTTGAGATACAGCACAGAAAAATCTAACAGTGGAAAGGAAGTTGGGTTATGGTAGAGATGGTATAAACAAACAGCATGGAACTGTGACTCTTAAAAGGAAAAAAGAAAGGCAGGCAAGAAGGAAAACCAACAAGCTAGTTAGCCGAGGAAGCCAAAAGAAAATCTTTCTTTTCTTCCTCTGCAGTTTTCTGTGCATACTGGACACCTGAGTGTTGAGAACACATGGCAGATGGAGGCACTCTTGAACAGGTAATTCCGAACTCCTAGGGGGTCTTACTTGATAACTAGACTCACAAACTGTTTGAGGCAAAAGTAACTCAATGAGGTTTAAAGGGAAGCCAAAGAAATAAAGTTCACTGACAAAACAACACACTTACCTGTTTAAAGTATTTTAATGAATACTGGTACATAGGATCTATTTCTGAGAGGCTCGCAATAACAAAGTACATGACGGAGCCTTGAGTGGCTACTGGGCGGTACTTCTCACGAGCGACATTGATCATCATCTCAGTGGACTCGGCTTCCTTTAGTCTGACTTTAATGGCACCAGAAGTGATCTGAATAAAGATATGAAAACAAGTTCTTAAGGATCCCTTTAGAAAGAAGAAAAATGGTAGGAGTTTTGGAGTATATCCAGTTAGGTCTAGGAAAGAAATCAGGATACAGTGAATTAACAATTATCATAATGAGGAGGTCCCCAGATAGAACGACTGAATCTCAGGACTCCATGACCTTCTGTCTGAGTTATACCTCTTTCCTTCCAGAACGTGGAATAGGCAGACAGGAACAGGTGACACAAGAAGCCCTGACAAGCAGGAGCAGCACTTCCCTGAGACTTGACTCTGAGTGACTTCTGGAAGGGAAGCACTAACACAGCACTCCCAGTTGCTCCCTGACGTCCCCATGAGCAGTGCTCACATAATATAGGGTTCGCATAATGGAAGAAGGTATGAAGCGAGAAGGGGCATCCGCAAAACTGCCCCAAAGAGGAGGGTGGAGAGAGAGTGCAAGGAAGTGGTATCATATTCTACTCTGTAATAACAAGGAAGACTAAGATTTTCTTTCTTTCCCTAGTGTTCCCAGGTGTAGACAAAGGGCAACCTGGGGATAGGGTTTATTTGTGAAGGGTTGTTGTGAAGGGTTATAAAACTAAGTTGTTGGGAGACAGTTGCAAGGTCTTTGCTGTTCTTTTGGTTTTCTGTTTTCAGTTAGTGGTTCTGGGGAGCCTTTTGGCCAATGGGCTTTCTAAGGTTCCCTTCTCTGGCTCCCTTGTCTCTCTATATTGCTGCCTGTCTGTCCTCTTCTCCCAACCCCCATTTCTTTCAGCTGGATATTCCTGGGTTGGGAGTTTGTTTCTAGAAAGTCAAAGGGTCTAGGGCAGGGGCCATGAAAAATCACTGTGGGAACTGCTGTTCGGTATTGGCTCTATTGAAAGGAGAGCTCAAAGGGGGTCTGAACAAGCTTTCTGTCTAGACCCCACTGCCCAAAAGAAACATAATGTGAGCCACATATATAATTCTATCTTTTCTAAGTTTATTGAAAGTAAACAAGTGAAATTAATTTTAACAATAATTTTATTCAGCCTAATAGAATCCAATATATGTTTTTTATATTAGCATATAATCCATTTAAAAATTACTGAGATTTTTAACTTTTTTTTTATTAAGTCTTTGAAATCTGGTGTGTATTTTACACTAACAACACATCTTAATTCAGGCTAGCCACATTTCAGGTGCTCAATAGCCCCATGTGGCTAGTGGCTAAGTTCTAGACTGTCAACCCCTGTCCTCCAAGAGAGTGAAGAGGGGGACTCAGAGATTTTTCCAGGAAATCAAAGGCTCACTCTCTATATTGACCACGTAGAAGCCTAAGGGGACAAAAGAGGGTAGAGTTGAGTGGAAGACCTCAGTCTCAATACTGGACTCAACTAAAGCATTTACAGGTGAGTAGGAAAAAGGAAGTTGATATGGGAGTTGGACCAAAGAGACCCACCTGCAAACAATTCTTTATTCTTTGGAGAACCCCAAGTCCCTGATAATGAAGAATCCAGGGCTAAAGAGAAAACAAAGTGGACTACTTTCTTCTTTTTGCCAGAGAACACTATACTATATATCTCAGTTGAGCTTAGTAACTACTTACAGATATTATGCCCAAGAGACTTGAGACCTCAGCAATGATTAGGGAATATGACATATTTTAAAATGAGGGCACCTGTCAGGCTTAGTCAGGGGAGCATGTGGCTCTTGATTTCAGGGTTGTGGGTTCAAGCCCCATGTTAGGGGTAGAGATAATTTTTAAAAAATAAAATAAAATGAGGGTTCTGGGAGTTTAAGGGAGTACAAAGTATAGGCAGGAAGTGGCAGGAAATACAGGCCAGGAATAATCAGTCCTATCTCCACGTGATAGAAAGGATATCTTTAAGGCAACTACCTGTAGACACCGAAACCTGCTTACAGAGAAAGAAGGCAGTCAGAACACATGTATCTATCTTATGCCCTACTGACATCATGATACAATTATAGTAAAGGGATTTTTAAAAACAGTGCAAACCCACAAAGATAGGAAGAATGGAAGAGGAAATATCAATAAAATTTTGAGAACTGGAAAGCAGAGAGTAGAGTGGTAATGACTCAGCAGATCCAGGAAAATAGATTCCAAAGCTGACAAAGGAGAAAGCCAAAAGTGACCCAATGTGTAAAGTAGAATCCCCTTCAAAGGCTTAAGAATTAGTGGCATCCCACCGGAAGTGGGAAGGGCCTAAAATAAGAATTGGTTGATAGACTCCCAAGTCATCTCCCCACCAGTCAGGGGATGTCCTTTCCCCACCCTGACTGAAAAACTTAAGTTTCATCCCTGGGGAAATTAAAAGAGAGGATTTTTTTTATGGAAGGAAGACAGGGACAGTTGAGGACCAGGTACCATAATGAAAACAAAGAGATTAGGTAAATGTATGCACAATGGCTGCTGACACCCTAGCTCTTCTCCTGTCCTCAGCCCCCTAAAATACTTGCACCCAGATCTTCATACTTCCAGACAATGTAAACACTGGATGTTTAACTGTAATCAGGGTATGAGTATAGTGGCAGGCTAGGGGATGGAAAGAGGGTGTGTGTGTGTGTGTGTGTGTGTGTGTGTATGTGTATGTATGTGAGTGGTAAAAGTATAGACAACAGTGAATGTATAAAAGAAAAACTCAGAAAGTAGCAATATGAGTCTCTGATTTAGAGAAAAGATGTCAAACCCCAAATAATCAAAACAAAAAAAGATGAACATAGTTGTTTTTATGGAGGAAGTCATTAGTGGTGGTGGTGGTGGGCAGAGAGAAGGCAGGGAATGCTATCGCAAACCTTGTACAAATATTTCATTCCTTTTTTTTTTTTTTAAAGATTTTATTTATTTATTTGACAAGTAGGCAGAGAGACAGGCAGAGAGAGAGGAAGGGAAGCAAGCTCCCTGCTGAGCAGAGAGCCTGATGTGAGGCTTGATCCCAAGACTCTGGGATCATGACCTGAGCTGAAGGCAGAGGCTTTAACCCACTGTGCCACCCAGGCGCCCCAAATATTTCATTCCTTAAGCAATCTGCATGTAAAGCTTTGTTTGTTTACTTAGAGAGCATGAGCAGGAGGAGCAGAAGGAGAGAGAGAGAGAATCTGAAGCAGACTCAGCACTAAAGTGTGGAGCCCAGTGTGGGGCTCAATCTCACGACCCTGAGATCATGACCTGAGATGAAACCAAGAGTCAGACGCTTAACCAACTGTGCCACCCAGGTGCCCCATATGTAAAGTTTTGATAAAAAAAAATAATAATAATAAATGGGTTAACCAACGACTTCCAGAAGCTAAAAACCAAGGAAGAACGAATGGAAAGAGGATAAAGAGACTGACAAACAAGCGGAGAAAGAAAAGAAATGGGAGACCCAGAATTACTTATTATTGTTTAAATATTGAGATCTCAAGAACTGTAGGCTATAAGGAAGTATCATTTTCGATGTCAATGAAAGATAAAGAACATAACCTTCTGTACTCCATGTCAAAGAGACTTTCTGTTTCTCATGAATGGGTGAAAATCATTTTCTAGGCTGTATTCCCAGTATACTTTTAAAATTATGGTTTGGATGAGAAACAATTTAGTACAAGATTATGTGTTTAACTTTATTGTACTATCATGACATCTTTACTGAGCACCAGTTACGTACAGGGCACCATGGTTAGCCCTTGGAGAAGGAATCTCAAGCTGAGCTAGTCACAGACTCAACACCAAACTGAACAGGCTAACATGAGATTTAAGACATGGGATTGGATAATGGTGACATAAGGTAAACAATGTCAAGGGTTGTGAGAGGGTCAGGTAATTTGCTACAGGCATTCCAAGGAGGAGATTAATTCCAGCTGGGCATACCAGGGAGGCTTCCTGAAGGAGGTGATATTAATGTGACTATAACTGTTTTTCCTTTCATCTTGTATCCTGTCCCAGCTCTTTACATTACATGCTTGATTTAAAAATGCAGACAAGGGACGCCTGGGTGACTCAGTCAGTTAAGCCACTGCCTTCAGCTCAGGTCATGATCCCAGAGTCCTGGGATCAAGTCCCACATCGGGCTCCTTCCTCAATAGGGAGCCTGCTTCTCTCCAGCTTGCCTGCCACTCTGCCTGCTTGTGTGCGTGCACTCTCTCTGACAAATAAATAGATTTTAAAAATCTTAAAAAAAAGAAATGCAGACAAGAGGAACAGTTGTCTACAATTTACCTCCTCTTCCGCTGTGGGGTGAAGGGCTCTGCCAGCTGGGCTCACTCTTGAGCCACCCAGGCAGCCCAGGTACGGCTGCCATTCTTGCTGTAAAAGACTTTGTAGGACCCTCAAAAGAGACATTTGTAACTTCTGAAGCAACACACTTTCTATAAATACTAAAAATATTTTACTTGCCTTTGAATCCTGGAGTGTGTCAATAAGTTCTTCATTGTCCAGAATATTTCCTTCAGATGTAAAGAGCATTCTCAGAATTTTCTCCTCGATAGTTTTCAGCTGGTTTTTGTCAGCGTTGATCCTCACAATGAGCTTGATTCTTTGTTCTTCCAACTCAGGTTTTTCGAGTCGCACCACATCACTGGAACCAAAGTTTGACTACTTAAATTATGGCTTTATCAGTGCCCTGAAGTTGCTTCTATTTTTCTTTGCTACTTAGCTGAGTACTAATGCCACTAGCCAAGACCTAGTGCATAAGGCCCCTCTTTTGCTGGGTTTGCACGGTGGCTATTCACTTAATGACATGTTAGTTCTGATTCTTTATCTTGTATTTAAAAACTGACACCCTACCACAGTCCCCATAGCTTCTGCTCATCTTCTCTTCGGAAAACCTGCTCAGTGCTTGATCTTCCGAATCATTCAATTTCTGTTTCTAATGCTTGCTTGTGCCAGGCTGAAAATGGTGCCTGGAACATTCTTTCTATGGGAGATTCCTGAAGCGAGTCTTGCCAGGGTCTAATAAAGGGGCCTTACCAGCTCCACTCCTGTCTAAACATGTGAACTTAGATCTCCCTTCACTTGTGCTTTCCCAGTTTGCTCCCAGCCCTATGTTTGCAGGAACTATTCTTTATTAAGCATCACTCTGTGCCAGGCACCCCTCTCAGAGTTTTATGTGGATTTTCTTGGAATTTTCTGAATGCTCCTGTGAGGTGGCACTGAAGCTGAGGGAACAGACCCTAGTGGGTCACCTCCTGAGCTCACGTGGCTCTGAGAGGCAGAGCTGGGCTCGCACCCGGCTTCGCCGACTCCAGGGCACGTGTTTTACCCACTAGGAAGAATGGCCTCATCGTTCATTTGTTATGTATAAACCGAGTTCAGAAACTTTAAAAGTTATTATATGAACACCATAAGAAATCATCATCTCAAGTTCCTTTGTTTAAATAATTTTTCCAGAAGAGAGGAGTATAAACTAGAACCCAGAGATTCTGTACACACACCGGAGGCTCAACATTCTCACTTCTGGAGCACTTGTCTGTGTCCCC